GCCCTCCAGAGTTCGGCTGGCTAGAACCTTCCAGTCGCCTCATACATGAGCTTGAGTACGGTGCACGTTCCTATAATAAAAGAAAGAGTTAATAAATATTGTGTGCATACCTTGATCTCTCCCACGTTAATTACTCACCTGCCTCGACGGCCACATTGGAATTTTCGGGGCGCCATCTACCCGCCGGGATTGAAACTAAAATTTTACTATAGTATATGCTTGACATACCCCCACCACGTCCTCCGCACCTCTATACCCATCTATACTCAACGGTATAAGCACACAGTCTTCTTCCCTTGTTCCTTCTAAACTCGCACTTGATTGGCTAAAACTATGTTGATAGAAGAATCTTTATAAAGACTCTGGGGGTGAGTCCCAAGAGCAGAAATGAGTAGGGAGATTGCCGATGGGCCTGTTTTTGGAGCTCCGCAAAGTTAGCCCCCCTACTTTGACTTTCGACATTTTTCTTTTTACCAATCGATTGGTGGTCGTTTGTTGATATTTGGTAGTCCAATCAGAACATTTGGTGGTTTTGGGTTTACTTTTAAAATTCATAACAAATTTTTATCATTAACATAGCCCCCCTCCCATTTCGACTTTTGACATTTTTCTTATTACCAATCGATTGGTGGTCGTTTGGTGGTATTTGGTCAGTATTAACTAATCCGTTTAAGACCGTAGTCTAAACATAGCGTTAGTTTCTACCGTGCAGAGTTTGAACAGAGTTAACCAATCACGTATAGGGGTTGAATGGAATTGACCAATAGTTTAGCTTGACTCTGTTTGAACTCAGCACGGTGGAAACTAAGCCATTCATTCTGATTGGCTTCTATTAGAATGGAATTGACCAATAGGGCTGCTTGACTCTGTTTAAACTCAGCACAGTGGAAACTAAGCCAATAATTCTGATTGGCTTCTAGTACAGAGACGTACGACAAACGTCTACGAACCATGTTCTGTTGTAGACGAAGCCTTAGGCCCATTTTCTTCAGCGCGATTCAATGTATAAACTGCGTTTATCTTCAAAATACCAGTGTCTGCTGATTGGCTAACAGCACAGTTCAACCGATTTGTGCATTGAACCGCGTCGAAGAAAACGGCCATTATTCTTTCTTTTCTGGCGGACCTCAAATGTGTCTACAATCAATATAACATCTGTTAAAAGAAGTGTATATTTTCAATCCTTAACGTCTGAAAATTAATCGTACGTACATTTTAGCTTAGCTGCGTGTAGAATTCTAGTCTGTGATGTTTATACAGGGTGTTTCTTAAGCCCCGGACAGGAGACATACCGTTAGATCCGGCGTGAAAAAATAAAAATATTGACGTCAACAATATTCAAAATTTTTAATTAGTTTATTAATTATTACGGATTAAAGTAAGCCAACCATAAGCGCGTGAGAACTAGTAACTCCTCCTCAGTTTCCTCCCATTGGGGGCAGCCAAATATTTATTTCCTCCCACTGTTTTTGTGGGGAGTTAAATGATTGGCTGTCCCCAATGGGAGAAGACTGAGGACGAGTTACCAGTTCTCACGCGCTTATGATTGGCTTACTTTGATCCGTCATAATTAATAAAATAATTAAAAATTTTGAATATTGTTGACGCCAATCAGCAGACACTGGTATTTTGAAGGTAAACGCAGTTTATACATTGAACCGCGCTGAAGAAAATGGGCCTAAGGCTTCGTCTACAACAGAAGATGGTTCGTAGACGTTTGTCGTACGTCTCTGTACTAGAAGCCAATCAGAATTATTGGCTTAGTTTCCACTGTGCTGAGTTTAAACAGAGTCAAGCAGCCCTATTGGTCAATTCCATTCAACCCCTATACGTGATTGGTTAACTCTGTTTAAACTCTGCACGGTGGAAACTAACGCTATGTTTAGACTACGCTCTTAAACCGATTAGTTAATACTGACCAAATACCACCAAACGACCACCAATTGATTGGTAAAAAGAAAAATTTCAAAAGTCAAAGTGGGGGGGGGGGCTAACTTTGCGGAGCTACCAAAAACAGGCCCATTGGCAATCTCCTTACTCATCTCTGCCAAGAGTTTTGAACTTGAAATAAAGACTTGTGTACCGACTTTCGATCAGAGCAGATCGCAGTCGACATATATATACGTTTATATCTTAATATTCACTTTTATTTCGTAAATATCCTTCTAAATTCGCAAGGTGAGTTTCCACTTTTTGCCAACGGAACCCAGCAGCAAGGAATATCGAGTGGGATTTTCAAGAATTCCGCGGAATTAGGCGCTTGGAGCGTTACAGCTAACATTACGTAAGCTTCGTCGCGGGTCTATCGTTCCAAGAGCAGAGATGAGTAGGGAGATTGCCAATGAGCCTGTTTTTGGTGAAGGCAATTTTTCTCTGGTTTCGGCGCGCCACCTTAGCGGAGGGCCCTCGAAGCAGTTCCACGTTTTTGATTGGTCGTGTATATATAGTAATACTACGCGTGATAATCTGGAGCTGTGTTTTGGCG